CGGTGCACACCCCTAGTTATGGATACAGCTACCGTCATTGATAACAAGAACATTGAAGTTTTATTTATGAAAAATAGAAAGGAAGGAAAGAAGAGAGGACAGAGCTAGCACACTGTTCAGAATTCAGGTCAAAATGGGAATGAAGAAAGGAGAGGGAAGAGTCATCCTGACCAGCCTGTTAATGTGGGAAAGGTGACAATTGACAACAAAAGCAAGCCGGAGGTGATGGATCCCAAGTTCCCAACTTGAAGAGAAATAGCCCTAGGTCATCACAAGAAGAGCTGCTTGAAAGAAGTAAGAGAGGACTATGTTTCAAATGCGGAAAGAATTGGGGCAGGGGACATGTGTGCAGGATGAAAAATTATAAGATAATATTAATGGAACAATCTGAAGGTGAAGTTGAAAGTGAAGCAGAATCAGGGGAATCAAAAGATGAAAAGACCTCACCAATGAATCTGAAAACCATGCAGCTCTCGGTCCTTAGTAAAGATGGCATATCTTTTGTGGAAACCTTTAGGGTGAAAGGAAAAATGAAATGGTCAGGAGGTGAAGAATTTGTGGATATCCTCATTGATAGTGGGGCCACACACAACTTTATATCACACAAATTGGTGGAGAAATGGAAACTACCTTACAGTCATATTCAGGGACATGGAGTGCAGATAGGGAATGGAGAATGTATTCTAATCTGTGGCAGGTGTGAAGGTGTAGATTTGAATGTGCAAGGAATTGGTATTCATCAAACATATTACCTATTGGAGCTGGGGGGCACTGATTTAGTCTTGGGAATGGATTGGCTAACAAGCTTGGGAGACACGGAGATTAACTTCCAAAATCAGACCTTCAAATGGGACGTACAAGGGCAGAAGGTGATTTTACAAGGAGATATCTCATCAAGTCAACAGGATATTGAAGGAGAAAGAGCTCAAAAGCATGAAGTTGATGTCCCCTATGTTGTAGCAGGCTACACCTTGGTCTCCACAGAATCTGCACATCTTAAAGCTTTGGATAAAATGTTCTGGCCTCTGTGGAACTATGCTGTGAAGTACATAGAGCGGAAGATGGAAGTAGTAAAGCAAAAGGCCCTGCAGATAAATAAGTATTGGAGAGGAAGGGGTGCTAAGATGAAGGAAAAGAAGAAGATTGTGGCTGTGTCCTATGACCCACCTTGAGGGCAAGGTGGATGTTTAGGGGGGGAGTATGTTAGGGAACGGGCCTATTAGAGTATTAATAAGAATAAGGGACCGGGCCTATTAGAGTATTAATATTTAATAATAATAAAGTGTATAAGTTTAGTATAAATAGAAGATAGAAGGGAGGAGTTGAGGAGGCTGTTTTAGACTTTGACTTTGGGACTTTGGGACTTTGGGAAGATCGAGAACTTTCTCTTTCTTTGGGGGGCTTCGGCTCATTTTGGGGGCTTCGGCCAGAATTATCTCTTCTACTTCTGTAATCGTTTTCTCGTAATCAATAAAGGTTCATCTGTTCTTGTTGATCTTTGTAAATTTTGTCTGGAAATCTAGAGGTTTCTATCAATCTAACCTTTATTTTATGCTGCACAGATATGGACAAGCACATTGCAGAGAACAATTTTGACAGCTAGCTCAATTGTTGGGTTTCCTAAGGTTGGCATGTCTAAAAAAATTCCCTTTTATGTTGTTCTAAAAGTAGTTATTGACTATAGAGATTTGTAATTGATATTACTTCAAATTTTCACTTGCAGATACAATGGCGTGCCCTTGATGAGATAAATGCTGGTGTATGTGATGGGATGACATATGAAGAGATAAAGAAGAATATGCCTGAAGAATATGAGTATGTTGTAACTGTTTATTAGGTCTACTTTGTGTGCTTGTAAATTTCTAATCCCCTAGTAGTTGTGATCTCTTTCCATTAAAGGTTTATTAATTTTTTTTTTCAGGTCACGCAAAAAGGACAAACTAAGATATAGATATCCACGGGGAGAATCTTATCTAGATGTTATCCAAAGGTGTAGTGTCTTATAATCTCCAAAGTCTTGTGAATATATTTTCCTAGCCGCTTGTTTGGTAGGAGACCTTTGGAGGGGAGGAGAAAAAACTGGAGGAGTTGCTTTTGTTTGGTTGGGGGGGGGGGGGGGATGTGGAGTTGTGGTCATGCTCAGGGGCGTATCTAAGGGGGGCCATGCTAGGCCCAGGCCCGCCCCAAATTTCAAAATTTTAAAATTATTAGGGCTTTAAAATTCATGTAAAACATTTTCCAAAAATATTCTTTGAGGATTTTAGAGCACTGGTTTTGTATATTTATTTTTCCCCTTTTCAGTAAAAGAAAGGTCTACCTTTTTTAATTACAACACAAGTATATCAAGGACAAGCTCAATGCTTTTACATATTCTTGTAAAATACCAATTTGTCATCACTCTATTTTACCAAACATAATACCACGTATATTTTAGCTCTTCCATTTTACTTACCTCTCATCCCCCTTTTTGAGCCAAATACAGCTTGAAGAACCATTCTTGCTTAATATAAACTCCATTGTCTGCTTGTAGGTTAGAGCCTGTGATTATAGAGCTTGAACGACAAAGAGCGCCTGTTGTTGTGATATCTCACCAAGTAATTAATGTCTTCATCAAGTTTGTTTTCTCTCTACTTCCAACTTCTGGATATAATACTTGAAAAACTAACTGCATTGGAAATTTTATAGGCGGTATTGCGAGCTTTATATGCTTATTTTGCTGATCGACCACTTAATGAAATTCCACACATAGAGGTAACTGTTTAATGGTTTCTTCATGAATCACGTCTAAATTACTACCTAAACAGTAATACATATTTTGATCGGGGATTAACAATTATGTTCATTCTTGGGGTGATAATTGTGTGATAGTGATGCTCTTTGTGTTTATCCATCAACTGTTTGTGATCAGGGACGGAGCTATAGCTTATGCTAGGGGGGCCATGGCCCCTCCCAGCTTTTCATTTTTAAATTACTAGTATTAGTTTTTTATATTTTTGCTCCCCCACTATGATTCTTCAGTGTTTCAATAGTTAATTTCTAGATAATAATTAAGATGCTATGATTTAGAAATTATAATAATGTATTATTTGCTACTAATGTGGTATTTTGCCAACTTTTATTTTTCATTTGCTCAAAAAATCTTGTCACTTTTCATTTAGAGCAGTGAATTTGTGATTCTACTTATTTCTCTCTTATCTACACAAACTTCAATTTTACTTTTCTTATTTTACACCTATCGTAAACTAAGCAAAATCCAATAGGATTGAGGAATTATATTACTCCGTATTATTTTTATTGCACCCCGGCCCCCTCTACAATCGAATCCTGGCTCCGTCCCTGTTTGTGATGTTGTGAGATTTGAACGAATGAACTGTTTGGCTGCAATTTAAAACTGCAGGTTCCACTTCACACCATAATAGAGATTCAGATGGGAGTGACGGGAGTCCATGAGAAACGGTATAAACTAATGTGATTTATTCGTTGGTGTGAGACTTTGGTTTCCAATTTTCTTTTTGTTTTTCGATTGATCAAGTGTAACATAAATAAATTATACAGAGTAGTCTTCGGGTGTAAAAGAACAAACATAATCAAAAGTGATGTACGTTTACATATTGCGGCTGCACCTTTAGTGTTAGACATACACTTTTCAAATGAACGTTGTAGAAGAAATTACACTTAAATACTTAATCCAATTTTGCTACCACATTTTTCACCTCTTTCTATTTCCCAATGAGGAAGACACAGGTTCATCATCATTTTCATTTACCCCAGTGCCATAAAGGCTCCCACCTACGGTGGGGTAAGGGGGGGTCGGATGTACGCAGTCTTACCCCTATACTAAAGCACAGAGAGACTGTTTCCGGATGACTTATAGTGAAAATCGCGTCCAAAATTGCATAGACTGACAATTGCTTCATAACAAAGAAGCGCAGACAGTTTAGTGAGTCATTTTGCTTTATTCCATCATATTTTCAAGCCAAAAAATAATGAATTTTTGGCTCCATTGCAAATGATGGAAAAGAGGAAGACAGACCGTCATTTTATTATACTCCGTAATAAAATTTAACGTACCTTTGTTACCCGGACTCCTTAGGCTAAGTAACATGGCAATGCCCAAAGTGTGAAAGTCTGCGTCTTGTAGAGTTTATAGAGTCATAATACATGCATGTGTAGCAGCGACTTGTTTGTATAACTTGCATGCACATTGTTTTAAACTTCTAGTACCTCTGCCGCTCCAAATATTGGGACGAAAGAGAGTAGTGTGATTTTTAAGAAAAGTAGAATTATGTGGTTGATAATGAGTTGATAAAGTGAGAATAAAGTAAGAACGAATTAGAGTCACACAAATGTTACCAAATATGGTGTGAGACAATAATAGAGACACATCCAAAAATAGAAAATATGAGACAATTATAGGACGGAAGGAGTAATTGTTATTGTATGAGGTTGGCCAAGACAAAGTTGAACCCAACAAGTTGGGCAATCCAAATTCAGTATGTGAGACCCAATTCTTCTGAATCTGACCCAAAGTCATTTAGTCTCAATTGCTAAAGCCCAATAAGTGTAGGCTGATGTCCATACTCATATAGTCATATTACTGTAGTCAATTGATATTTTCTCACGATATCAAAATCACTGAAGTTATCACATTCCAACTCAACACCAGACTGAGACCCTACATTTACACTATGAACAGTCCAACCAAAATGTATCTACGTGTTCTAATTGCAAGTGCCAAAACACATCAGTACATACATGCATGCAATCCCTAAAGATTGAATTACTATTTTGAGATGAAAAGTGCTTGTTGAACTTGAATATGTATGTATGTAAAGGTGTTTCAAATTAAAACTCTCTATGTAGAACCTTGTATTTAAATGAGACTAAAATTATTTCTTAAACTTAGAAAGAAAACTAAGACATTGATGATGATGATAAAGAAAGAGACAATGATTTAGCCACTTCTTTCTCATTATAATCCAAACTCCTCTTACAATATAACGTTTTGCTTTTGAAATTATCATCTTGATGATCTCTCATAGCCACCAGGTCCATGCTCAACTTCAAATCAATCTCGTTATCTCCCGCAACTTTGTCCTCATTTGTTGCACCAAAATTGTTCCAATTTCTGAATGGGGAATAAGAAACTCCATTCCCAATGTTTCTCATTATCATGAGCTTTATATTTTGTCCATGTAACTGGTCATGCGCTGATCGTGTAGTACTGTCACATTCTCTACTACTTTTCCCCTTCGGGGATGTAGTAAAGATTGAGTCACTATTTAGATTGGTCATATTGTTCCTTGAAGATATCCAGTTTACATTGTTTCTGCTTCTAGGGAACCTGTGAAACATCAATGTGTAATCTGATATGCTAAATCTTGAACATTTACATATACATTGGCTTAGTATAATTAAATAATGGCAAGATTCATACGAATATCCATACTTTCATAGATTCTACAATAATAGTTCATGCTGAGTTTTAATAAAAATAATCCAGACGAGCAATGATGTTTCATGTTACAGAAATAAACTAGGGTAAATTCAAATTAACGTTCATTTAATACTCTCAACCCTTACTCCACTTTCACCTTCACTACTCTTCAATTTTCCAAGCTAATACCCAATATCTATCATCTCTTATTTCTTGCCTTTCTTGATCCACCACACTGACTTTCTTAAGCTAAGCAAGTTTCCTTTCTTTCCCAAATTTTTATCATTTTCTGGCCATGAATTTTGTTTAGCCTCTTAATCGCATCCAAGGATTTCAGAGGCTGTAAGATTCCAACAAAACCAAAATACATTCGAAATTGTATGGTTTCAAACAATGGTAAGAAGAGCAAGAACATATTTTTTAAAATCTTACTTGCTAAGTCACCTTAAGAGGGTGAATTGGTGAGTGGGTGGATGTAGAATAGCAAATAACAAACGGAAGGTAATGAACTAACATAAATTTCTTTTTCTTTTTTGTGAACGCCATCATGAGTTGAGATTTTTTTTAAATACTCCAAGTGAGGAATATTATTGTAGAATCGTTGAAGTATAAACTTTGCCTTAAATAATTGAAGAGTTTAATTATAGTCAATCATCAAATAACTTTTTGGTATTACTTGAGTAATTATGTGTTAGGATTGAGATCAACATAGGCATACTTTGATTACCTGAAGTTGGATGTTATTCTTTGATCAAACGCTGGTAATTGCCACAGGTTTTGTTGAAGATTGTTTGCAGTCCATGTAGGATAGATTGTTCCCTCGTTTATCACTAATTAACAATTTAGTCAAAGAAAATCAGAAGTTAGTCTTAAGGCTATGTTTGGCGGACATAAGTGTCTAGCTTCTAGCTTTTATACTGTTAAAAAAGTCTCTAAAAGCTTCTAGTTGTATGTTTGACATGACAATTTTTAAGAGCTTTTCAAAAATCAAAATATCTTTTTTGAGATGCTACAAAGACTAGCATATGAGAAAAGCTCGTGACTTTTAGAATTAATTAATCCTAACAGCTTGTATACCAAACAGAACTATATCAAACAGACAACTTTTACCAAATAACTACCACCTTTTATTTTTAAGATCTTTTCAGTTACTAAAAGTTAACAGTTATTGAAAAGCTCACAAAAATATCTTTTCATCTAGTTGTGTCAAACATACCCTAAGTACCTTATTACTAGGATGTAATAAGGTACATAGTTACAGTTTGTGACTTAGCTATAGTCGCACTTAAATATATAAGAACAGACTTGAAACGAACGGTATAGATCAGATTACGTGTGACTTAGATAATACAAAAATACACAAAATATCAGAATAAGCTTAACAAAGTATTATTCTAAATCACCAAGCTAGCTATTTAAGGCCAAATTTGAAAATACCAATCTAAGTAAAGTTATGATCAAGAACAACTTAAAGTAATGTTTTCCCTTAATCTTTATGATAACTTGCATTGCCATATGCATGATCTTTAAGCTAGCTATTCATTACAGCACTCATTTTTACTTTCTTTTAGAAATTAAAATGCTAATAAAATCCGGAGTTAAATCCAAAACCTTAAGATGGAATTAATTAAACATGAACCTTCTACGTAGTACGTACCTTAACTTCAACCTACAAGGGTACGACACCACACATGCAATTGTTAACTTCTTTCCCGTTTTAATATTCTTCGTATCATAGTTATAGACTTATAGCCCCCGCATTTAACTAAATAAGTCAGTCCTGGGAACTTGTATTTTATTTTTAAATTTAATAGTCAACGAATTAGACAATGTCAAAAAATCCAAAACTTAGCCAAAAACAAGTTCCTAAAATATTCTCGAAAAAATTAAACTATCCAATATTCTCAAAAAAATTAATGGTGTTAAAACTTTAAATACATATTAAAAATTTAGGAATATGACTACGACGCGAGAACGTTAAAATAGATACCATAAAAAACATTCTTGGAAATTAATCACATTCTCAAATTTTGGGTTTTTAATAAAGAACAATACGCTTGCGTAGTCATTACGTACAATAAGATCAGAAAATATACTCTACTAACAATTTTCGATCAGAATTGTTTTTGGAAAAAATTGAAGATAATTTAAAACCAAGGTCTACTTTAATTTTTACTTTTCCTGAAAATATAAAGATTTAGAGCCCGTTTGGTAGCACCAAAATCGGCTGTTTTGGCTGATTCTGCTGAAATTTATGATATTCTGGTTGGAGTGGCTGTTTTGGCTGATTCTGCTGATTTAAGAAAAAAATATTTTAAAAATATATTTTATTAATAAATTAAAGAAAAAATTATATGTAAAAATAGCTAAAATGGTCCTCTACAGTAACTTCAGTCAATACAGCCAGAAAAGTAACTTCAACCTTACTTTTTCGGCTTATTACACAATTCAGCGCGCGAAAGTAAAAGTTACGTGTTTGGTGAAAAAGCTGGCTGATAAGCCCGATAAGCCGAAAATAGAGTTCTCCAAACGGGCTCTTACATAACCGGTTATATTTTTAATCATTTGTTTTATTTAAAATTCATTCTGAACTTCATAAATATTTTGCAATACTGACTAAATATTTTGTTGTTGTTTAATATTGCAAAATATTATTCGCCATAATCGAGCATTTGCAAATGATATGTGATCAACCTCCTAAGATAAATTGAAGACTTTATATATATGTGTGTGTACCATATTCTAATAAGCATTAAATGTGTGATGATTTAAAACTTATTCTGAAGAAAGGAGAGATGGATTGAAGTCAATTTTTCTTACCTTGTCCCTGACCATCAACATTCTTGCTCCTGTACATCTGTTGAAAACAAAGACAAACAAATTTAAATACTTTACACACAAAATCAATGATTGAAGATTGATCTTGAAAGCCAGTAACACAACTAAACAGTACCATAATTGAATCTATAGATAAGTTAAAAATATATGTTCAATTGATTCAGATCCTAATAGTTCCATATCATCATATACATACAAAAGTTCAGATCAAGACCTGCAAATGGCTCTTGACATGAGCAATGCTTAGTCCCTCAACGTTCATTAGCTTCAAAACCAGCTTGGGCGTTGCCCCTACATACCACCCCACCGGATTGTTATTAAAAATATGAAAACTAATGATAATATATAAGAAAAACAACTATTATAATGTTTAAATGGGGCAATTATTTAGAGAAAATGTTATATACTAGCTAGCTAGTATATGCTTATGTCTATTATTAGTTTTTTAACTTGCCGATATGTCTTAAACTAATAAGTTTGTCCAAATTAAGTCTTTTCCACCAGAATGTAATATTCCTTGCAAAATAGCCCAACAAACAATTTGACTCTAATATGAAATTATATGTATATTCTGGTGAAAGAGTAGTTCTTAATATAAAGTGATTATTAGTTAAGAACACATGCATGCATATATAAGTGTTATGAGATTAAATAAGTATCTCGATCAATAAGCTCTCCTACATACTTTCTTGACCTCCGAGACGTTGTACCGCATGGACAAAGCTAAGATGAAGATCATGAGTCCACCGTAACCTTGGAACTTTGGATCTCACGTATTGTCGTACTACCCCACCGCTGCTACTGTTACCGTTACCGTTATTGTGAGATGATGATCCTAACCTCATCATTGTCTCCTTCTTGTTGTTCCCGGTTTCCTCATGATCATCATCGATCCCGCTATCATTGTTTGATGAGCTCCGACTCGTTTTCGGATCCATTGTATCTTCTTCACCATGATATTCATCCAAAGGGGTCATGTTTAAGTCAACACAAATCTCTCTTTCCACCATTTTCTCTTTTCTATATGTAATAACTTCAAGTTTCGAGCTGAGAGAGCAAGAGCTGCTTAATTAAGATGAATATTGTTGGTTATACCTACCTTATATACATGATTTATCTCTGATCATATATATACTTAGAATTTAGCTAGCTTCCATTGTCTTAGGTAGGGAGTAATAAGCAATTAAGAAGTAGTTATGGGCTATGTTTGTCAAATTGAGTTGGAGCTTAATGCTAGTGTCCTTTTGTTGGAGCTATACTTGGTAGGGGTTCTGAACCTGAAACCTTAGGGAAAGAAATATAATTGCTTAGCTTAGCTTGACGAAAATTTCGAAATGATAACTGAAAAATATGTAAAATTATAAAGTCATGCTTAAAGTTTTTCTTAAATATTATTGAAATAAAATTTAGTTTTAGTAAAAGGTACTACAATACTAAGTAATTAAAGGTATAAATAGTTGTAGTAATTTATTTATATGTTCGACATTATTTTTTTAAGAGGATCAACTCAGTTTGTTTTAATTAGTCTCTAGTTTAATTTTTTTAAGAGAAGTCTCTAGTTTAATTTTGAGTATCTATTTATTATTAAATTCATTTTTTATCTCAATAGATTTCGAGAAGTAACAACTGTTTATATCAAAATTTTAGTATCGTATGTTTTCGTCATTATTTAATTTTGAGAATCAACTTTATCATCTTTCAAATTTAAATAAATACCTTTAACATCTCTTTAATTTGGAACGGATGAAGTAACAACTTTTCATAAGAAATCTTTAATAAATTAAATAGCGTAGTATATTATAAGCTAAAAAGCATAAAAACAACATTAGGAGCTCGTACGTTTCGTACTATACTTGAATGAACGGAATTTGAGTTCCATGAGAAATAATAAGGGAATTATTTAATTCCATTTACTGTACGTAGCTAGGCTCGGTATATATATATATATATATTATATGTTCACTTGATGAACTAATTAATTCTTTCGGTATCACACATCATTCCTACATCTGAACTTAACCAGTGTGGCAATGTACAAATACATCGTTTAGATTTTGACCATTTTAACCTAGAAAAAAATTATCAAAATTGAACTAAATCATAATATATACTTCATCCGTTCCTTTTTAATTGCAACAGTCCACTTTTCACGCTTGCCAACACACAAGTTTGACCGTTAATATCTTTCACTCCTTATTAGTAAAAAAATTTAAAAAATCAGATTTTGAAAATTTATTATGAGAGAAATTTAAAAATATTTTTTAAAAATTTAATTCTTAATACATTAATTAATAAAATGTAGTCAAAGTAGAATCTGTGAATAGTGAAAAAAGTCATATGTTGCAATTAAAAGAGAACGGAGGTAGTACGTGTTTTCATAATATGATCTAATACAGTTTTCTGTTTAAATTTTATACTACTACGCATACTTTTAGAAGAAGGATTTAAATTATTACTCCTATTTCTTTTCGTCTGAGAAAATAGGTCTTATTTTTTGAGTAAAAAAGTGATCTTACTTGAAGAGAGATATGCGCGTTTTTTTTTTGCCAGGAGATATGCGCATTTTAGTACGGTATATATTCATTTCAGTCACGGTTTTTCTCTTAAATTATTATTATAGTTATATATAATTATAATAATAGAGTGGGTGACATAATTGCATGCATGCCAAACATAGCCCTAACATAAACTCTTAATAAGTTCAAAATAACCTTGACTTAGTCTTGTTTCGACATACCTAAGGGCTAGCTAAGGCTGCTTAAGTGCTTCCATCATCGTCATTGCCCATTTTTTCCTTGAATTAAACCAAAAAAAGAGAACGAAATTGTTGCTTTTAGCCTATAGAGTGAGAATAAAAGAGGGGTATGTGTATTTTTTCAAATAAGGGAGACGTACATTAATGGAAGGTGGAAACAAGAGGATGGAAAAGCCAAACGTAGCCCTTTTCTATGTCTAACCTTAGATGATATAGACTTGTGACTTGTCTCCACACTTTCAATTCCCACTTTGTCTCTATGTGCATCATATTTTCTCCGCATGTACTAAAATACTACAATGAGTGATCTTCCATTTCCTATGAATACAGTCTGAAATTTTTAATTAGACTGGTTTGAGTCGCATGTCGGATCGGAACTAATTAGAGAATTGGTGCTTCGAGTAACCCAGATCCGCTTAAGGTTGTTCAATTTAGCGATCGGGGCCTCTCATAGGGATTGAGATCTTCTACCATAAGGCAGGATGCCTTGCTCAAATGGCTGGCAGGGATTAAGAACCACGCCTCGAGATCTATGTAAAAATGGGACTCTTCATCTCCTATCATCCGTTTTATTATCTGAAGGTTAAAAACAACTAGGCACCCTCCTAAAAGGTAGATTAGTAACTCTAACTTTAACTAGTAGCAATGCTTAGCTTGAAAAAAATAATAATAAATCGAAACTGATCAACAAATTAATCGAATCTGGAGCAAATATAACCGAAAACCCACCAAAATTGATCTAATGTAAGAAGGTCCAAATTACGATTTAGCCGGAATTATATACTCCGTATTGGGCGAGGTTAGTATAAAGATTTTTTGAAATCTGGAGTGGGTCGGGTCTATAATGCCCCCCTACCACTGCCCCCATGGTCATGGTTATGGTGAATTATTTACATTATAGCGGAGAACCCTTCAGTCCAGTATTGTGAGATGTGGTAGTTACAAAAACTCTCCATAATTGAGTAAGGCTCTGTTTGCAACCGCTTGTGCTTAAATAAAAGCACTTTTTGGGAAAAAGTGATTAGTAGTAAAAGTTGGTAGTGTTTGGTAAAATAAGTGCTTTTTGTGTAATAGAAAAAGTAAAAAGTAGATTCTACACGAGAACCGAGAAAGTAAAAGTTGATAGTGTTTGGGAAAATAAGTGCTTTTTTCTTAAAAAAAAAAAGCCAAAATCACTTTTTTTAATTGATTGCAAACAAACCCTAAAATGGGCAAATGGCAAGAGCAAGCAAGTTTTCTCCTTGGTACTTTTTTAATACTATCCTCCGTTCCTAATTAGATGCAACATAGTCCAATGACACACAAATTAAGAAAGGGCTGTAAAGTATTTTTTTCCCTATTCTACCCTTCTTTTCTGCACGTATACTCCTTTGTACAAACAATATTACAACTTCCCTATTCTATAGCTTTTTTTCAGTTTCTCAGTAATTTGTTAAAATCCATCATTGGAGTCTTCCAAAAAGAAAGAAGAAATTGGGGGAAAGGAATCTCAAGCACAGCAGTGAGCTTCAAACTCCTTGAAGATCTAGGAAACACATAGGGTGAGAAGGCTATGCGTAACTGATGAAGCATCTAGCTAGCCGGAGATGCCCTCAGTTGCCGGCGCAGTCGGGCAGCGGGTTTCGCCGGAGAAATCGGAGGACCCGTTCTGTTCTGGCGCCGCTACCTTTGTTGCTGGAAACTATTAAGGTTGCTTCTGCAGCTTGGGTCGTGAGAAAAGTTTTCAGGTGGCCATTAATGGCGGACCTCCGAGGTTGAAATCTCACAGCCGAAGGAAATGACTAGGAAGAGATGGTAGTCGTGACCTAGGCTTTCCTTCAGAATTGTTTTTGTTGGATTTTCTAATGTCTAAATGGGATGAATTTTTGGATTAAGAAAATGGAGGAACGGATTGAAGAAATGGAACGAGGAAGAAGGGATAGGCAGGTGGGTGAAAAGATTAGGCAGAAAACTTGTGGCGTAGATGGGTTTGGTACTGTTATTTCTTATTTTCTTATTACTAATAAAGGTAATGTTACAATTATTTTGAAACTATCGGAAGAGGGGATATAATGTTGTTGGGCATTTTTTTCTGCCTAGTGACTTGATCCTTCGAGTTAAGTGTATCTTTAGTGACAATCTCAACATGCTAAGATTAGAAATTGAAGTGCAATTGTGGGCTATCATCTCGGATGTACCCATTCATCATGAATATAAACTAACTTCCACGTCATTCCTGTCAGTTAGGGCTAACAATTAGAACTATAATTACACGTAACTGGATCATATAATAATAGAAAAATGGACAAATAAGTCCTCGAACTAACCAAAAATGCAAATCACCCCTTATATTGGAGGCTCTGTCCGACCGTCATCATTTGGGGATGTTCCCGATGGAATTTCTTGATGAATTTTTTTTGAGAATCTTCTTCATTAAGTCTAGTTTACCCATACCAAATTTTAGAAAAATTCAATCGGGAAGACAGACAAATGAATTTTTGAAGATAACTGGGCAGTTAAACAACGCATTATATTTCAGAAAATCATTTGACTGCCTTCCCGGTTTTATTTTTAACTGAAATTTGGTATGAATAAACTAGACTTAATGAAGAAGATGCTTAAAAAAATTCATCAAAAAATTTCATCGTGAACCATCCCAAATGGTGAAGGCCGGAAAGAACCTCATGTACAAGGGGTGATTTGCACTTTTTTGGTTAGTTCGATGGCTTATTTGCCCCTTTTCCCTATAAATAATGGTGAAATTCATAACAATAGTGCATACTTTCAGTAATTCTATAATAATAATATCTATGGAGAATGTTCATAAAGTAACTGAACTTGCAATGATGTTCACAAGAATAAATTGGGGTGAATTAAAAAAAATGTAGTAACCACTTTCTAAATAAATACTCGTATTCCAAACATTTTCATTTTTATTGTGTATACATAAAAATAATGAACTAGCAATGACTTTCATAAGAATAAATTATTTTTCACGTGGGGAGTATTTTTAACTCAAAATTTATATTAAAAAAATTGGGGCGCCTAGACGAAAATCGGAGCGCCGAGCCACCGCCTAGCGCCTAGGCGGGGACTAGTCGGACGCCTAGAACGATTTTTAGAACAGAGTTCACAGTAAACTGGGTAGTTTACTAGACAGTGTAGTGAACAAGTTGTTTATCTGAGAACTGTAGTGTGTATTGGGAGCTGAATATAAAAGGTGACACAAGATTTATACTGGTTCAGATGTGATGTAATCCTCCTACATCCAGTCCTAACCTATTTCAGATGGATTTCCACTAAATGAATATCCCATTACATTTAGTGCTCAATGCCTCAATCTATCCTTGGCCC